AAACCCTAGAAAAAATTGTCGCAGGGAACCTACTGAGATGAAATAGAGCAAATGCAGCAAAAATTCTAATGAAACAACTAGAAACAATTCAAGGGCTTGCTCTCTGGGAAATCATCTAGAACTAAACTCTGACATCTAGTGTTCACTGAAATCACTGCATGGTACTAACCCAATGTCTGATATTCCTATTACATTACAAGCAATGCTTTTTAACTGTGTTTAAAACCTTGAGCATATTTTGCCTTGGAAAAATGTCAATCTGTAAGCAAAAGAGAAAGCTGAACATAAATCAGTAAGAAGAATACCCAGATGTTAGCTGTTCTTTTTCTGTAAACTTTTCCCACACAGGGCATGAATAAGAGGAAGTGAAAAAAAGATTCATTTAAGAGAAACAAAAAGTTCACTTAAGAAGTGAACGAAATTGGAACAGGTCTGATGACATCCGTGATAGCAGCACTGCAGATGTAGGAGGGGTTGAAAAAAAGAACAGAAGCCTAAAGCGATAACTTTCCCTCTTTTCTCTCATTCTTCAGGTGTAGTAAGGGCCTCGATGAGAAAAAGCAGAGGGATATCAGCAATTGGGTTTTACAGTTAGAGCTAAGGTTTCTATGAGAGGTTGAGAAATGTGGGCTATTAGAGACTCAGGAAAAGAGAATAATGCTGTTAATTCTAGCTGTACTGAGATAGCAAAACCCTTCCATCTATATTTGATACTTCTACTATTTTCATTTTCCACACTGAAATAATTTTAATGCAAACACGCCAGCCTGAAAGAAAGGAGTCATTTTTGTAGTTGATGCTGTGCTATCCCATCTTACATTCAGTTTTATTTTTTTCTCTGTCCCTAGTGTTTACTGAGGGTAGTGATAGTGGATATCAAACTTTTGATATCAAAGTTTTGTCATAGACAACCTAAGGACATTTAATTCAGTTACTTCATGTACTTTCTCAAAATTCAAAGCACCCAACAAAAATTAATGATTAAAAATGCAAATTGAATAGAATCGAAACTCATCATCAGTTGTCCTTCTATATTTCCCCCTCATTGGGCTTAGGCAGAGTGAATATTCATTCATGCAGAAATACACAGACACTTGCAAAGCAAGACAAGTACCTGTCTCAGGTGAGCTGAGCATATTACTTATGCCGACTCCTTTGTTATTATGATTTGCTATAGGCAGAAAATGAAATCCTTGCTGCCATTTACCAAAGACTCCTCTCTTCCCAATGAAAGCCTTTATACTGCGTTCAGAACTATTTACCTATATGCTTACTTTCTTTGCAGTTGAATTTTAAATAGATGATACAGACTTCACTGTAGGTGCTTTGCATTGCTTTGCATTTAGTATTAGCATGTGTATCTTTTCCATATCAGCAGGCAGTGTTCTGGTGTTCTTTAGAGATTCATTGAATGGTTGCCCTGCATTTAATCAGTGAGTTACTTAAATATTTAGTTTATTTTTTAATCTTTATGAACAATGTGTAATGAAATCCTTTTATAGAAATCTCTGTATACTTGCTATTATACTAGTACGATACATTTTTAGAAGTGGAATTCTTGGGTCAAGGGACTATGCTTCCCCCAGATTCCAGGCCTTTTTTCCATTGATAGATATTTCATATTGCAGTGTAAGGTACTTACAGAAGAGTGCATAAATCATAATTCTATAACTTACTAGGATTTCCCAAAGTGAACATACTTATATAATCTACCCAGGTCAAGAATCAGAATATTACCAAAAACTAGAAGCACTTCCATCCTCCTCTGGCTACTATCCCGAAGGGTAACTGCTTCCTGATTTCTAAGGCTCTAAATTTGTTTTGCCTCTTTTGAACTTTATATAAGCAGAATCATACAACATGTGTTCTTCCTTCTGGCTTCTTTTTGGATATGTATTTAAAATATTTGATAGTACAATGTAAAGTTTCTATTCCTTACATATTCTTGGCCTCTTACTGTAATTTGTCGCCATTGACCATCCTCATTTTTATATTTTTCTCCTTTCTGTTCCATGACATTATCTCTTCCCTTTCCTCCTGATCTTCTGCTACTCTTCCTGTTCCAGAGTCTTCCCCTTCACTCAACCTTAAATCATTGATGTCCTCAAGGAAATCTTAGGCAACCTCAGCCAAATCCATGGCTTCTGTTACCATCTATATTCCTATGACTTCTGAATTTAAACTTCTATCACAGACAATTTCCCTGAGACTCAGATATCCAACTTGACTCCATCACTTAATAGGTCTCAAAACGCCACATCCCCAAGCAGAACAAACAATCCCTTCTACTTCCAATTGCTCCATACCTGGTGCTGTTTCAGTGTTCATCTCAGTGAAAAAAATACCACCAGGGATCCCTGGGTGGCGCAGCGGTTTGGCGCCTGCCTTTGGCCCAGGGCGTGATCCTGGAGACCCCGGATCGAATCCCACGTCGGGCTCCCGGTGCATGGAGCCTGCTTCTCCCTCTGCCTATGTCTCTGCCTCTCTCCCTCTCTCTCTCTCTCTCTGTGTGTGTGTGTGTGACTATCATAAATAAAAATTAAAAAAAAAAAAAGAAAAAATACCACCAGCCATGGGGTTCATAATATAGAAACCTAGAAGTCATTCTTGAGATTTCTCTTTCAGTATACCATTCAGCCATGAAATCCTGACAGCTTTTCCTCCTAAATACCTGTAGTAATGGTTCACTTCTCACCAATATCATTATCAGCATTCAAATCCAGGCTAAAACCAGGATCATCTCTTGCTTAGACTATTGTCATAGTCTCCAAACTAATTTCCAAACAAGTGAATATTCTGCTTCAAACTCTTCAACAGTTTGTATATTATACTGAATAAGTTCCTTAAGGCAGCATTAAGGACCCAATCCCTCCCCCTCTCTTCTTGCAGTTCTTTCCTTTCTCCAGAAATTGCTCCACCCTTTCCTTAAAAGGGTCAGAAACAGTTGAAATTTGAACAATTATATCCAACATGGTTATCTGGAAGATAAAAGTAAAAAATAATATATATATGTAAAGTTACAGTGAAATTGGATAGAAAAAAAGTCTCTTTCAAAATATCCAGCCCACTTTGGGGTAGTGGTGGCGGTGAAACATTCAGAAAGCAATGAGATAAAGGAATAACTGCCCCCAAAGAGTTTCAAGCTGCTTAAGAGACCAATTAGTGTAATGAGTAACAGCACTGCTTCAGAATCTGAAAAACCTGGTTCTGACCATGATGTGGCCACTTAAAACCTGCATAACTTTTGGTGAGTCATAACACCTCTGAGCCAGAATTCTCGAGATAAGATAATTCCTATCCTTCACAAGGATTAAGTTACATGTATCTACTCTTTGGCACAATTACCAGCACATAGTTAAATTTTAAATAAGTGGTTAGCATATTATTATTAAGAAAAAAGTAAGGCTATAGTATTATTGCCACCTACCAGGCAGGAATAACCATGTTTAATCAATGCTAAAGATAATGAGCATCCCTGGGGCAGAAACTAGGCCACATTCTCCCAAGAGCTTTATGGACTTGGATTATTGGTGTTCTTCCCTCTGGCACAAGGATAAGTTTCCAGGTAACCAGTAGCTCAGGATGACCTAAGCATATATCATTCTCAAGAAGTCTTGTTTTTTTTGTTTTGTTTTGTTTTGTTTTTTTTAATTAAAATGATTCAGTTTGTTTACTTCTGTCAGAATAAACATCTAAAGTTGGATCTTCCCTTATCTTTGTAGCTGGGATTTTATGACTTCTATTGAGATAAGAAAATACTTTTTTCTATGGCAAAGTCAACTTTATACAAACTAGACAAATCTGACCATTGTTTGTGCCTGCTTTTATTGCAAATGGAGGAACGCAGCTCGTGATGCTTATCTCCTCTTCCTTTGCAGTCCTTGAAAGATAAATATGCACACAAAAGCAATTGAAACCCAAACTAAAAAAAAAAAAAAAAACCCTCAGGATATAAGACTGATGAAAGTATTTATTTAATTATTTAAGCATTTAAATTTACAAAAAGGATAGATGATTTAGGGAAAAAATAGATTGAAATAAAAATGACAGCATTCTGGCTTGACATCTAACAGCAATTATCTATATTGTCTTAAAAAATCATTTATTTTCCCTGATCCTTAAATTTTTCATATACAAAGAATTAAAGTTTATTATGTTATCAAAATTCTGAGTTTATAATATGCATATATAAAATACAAAAGGAATGTATTTATATTTGTGTATCTATGAAAGCACATTTATATGTGCATCTGCATACCACACATTCACACGTATATAATTTCTTATGAAAAAGCAGATTATAAACAAGGAGCTGGAATAGGTGATAGGTAAGGTCCAGTCTTATGCTGATATCATCTGTTTCTAGCATTTAAAATGCCCATATCTTCATTCCTCCATTCAAGACCACGGAGCAGTGGGAATTATATAAAAATGCAAATTCTCAGACCCTAAGACTTACTGAATCAGGGATTGTGGGGAAGAGGCTCCACCACTGTGTTGCAGATCTGCCCTCCAGGTGGTTTAGAAGTACCCTAAAATGTGAGAACCACTGCATTTGAACATTCCCAGAAAAGAACTATAGGCTAGAGTTGTAAGCAGAAATGGAAAACCAATAATTAAAGGGGAAAAAAGGAGGATTATTCTACAGAGCACCTGGATCAAAAGTGGTAGGAAGAGTTTAGAGAGACATAGCAACAGCAGGCACAGGGGAGTGTATGTATGGTAGTGGGGAGCAGCTGTGGTTGTGAAAATACAGAGCTAAGCCCAAGCAGCAATAATAAAGCAGTAGCCACATGCTTCTTTTAAGTCACTGTTTTCAGGCTTTCATTTCTATAACTTTGCTGAGAACTGCTGGATTTAGAACCTTTTTCTTGCGGTGGATCCCAAAGGAAGATAATTATCTTCTTCTCAGCCACTGATATCTCTGACCTCTAGTTATTTACCATAGAAACCTGACACAGAGAGAGTGAAGGCTTCTCAGGCTGATCCTGCGTGTCTTTTCCAGGCTGCTTTCAACAACCTGAGATTCTTCTGACTCCAGTTTGAATATTCTCCTCGTTGCCAGTTAAGGAGTATATGTATCATCAGGGAAAGGAAGAAAATGCCCGAAGTTTCAATAGGCTAGAGCTAAACTTAGCCAGAGAAAGCTGCAGGGGTAAGAATAAGCCTGTGAAAACGACAGGGCAAGAACTCAGCATGGACACTCTTCAGGAGGCTTATGGATGCCAGGTTGTCATCCAGGACATTGCCCTGAGAGGGGAATCCCCGGCTTTGCAACTTCCTGGCCAGCGTGAGGGCCACCAGCCGGCTATAACCTTTCCTGCGATACTCTGGCAGGGTATAGCCATGGCACATAGTGGCAAACTGGTCTGTGAGAGACCAAGAGACTGGGTTTCCCTTGTCATCACGGACACATACACTGGGGAAGCAAGAGATGAGGTTTTTGATGTACTGGAGACACTGTTCATTGCCTCCTCGTGACCAAGTCCTGTTGAGTAGATCAGCATCAGTAACGCTCAGGTATGTTAGCCGTGGGGGAGAACTCATTCTAGAAGAAAACAACATGAGAAGAAATGTAAACTTGGGATCATATGACTACAAACAGCTACTTGTCTTTTTATACTGATTCAAACTGAAAAACAATCCCAGAGATATACTTAGCAAATACCAAATTTTTTTCAATGGATTAGAATCCTCGGCCTCGTGTTGTTTTGTTTTTAAATCGCCTAGGAATATAATTTATGGTAATTTATTTTGTCTGCCGCTTGAACAGTTGGGGGGAGAAAAATGTGGGGTGGTCTGTGAAGATTTGTCCAGATACTTCTTCTTTCCCACAGTTGCCTTGTCAGAACCCCATTTCCCAGTTCAGGGTGACCAGTTTTGAGTATGTCCCAGAATAACTTGCTCCATTTCCTGAACATTTATTGACCAAAACCATTTTATCTTGGGTGTGTTTACTCGATCTTTAAAGAAATAAAATCTGGAATCCTTTTTCACTCTGCTAGTGTCTCTTGTCACAAAAGTCAATTTTCAAGATGAATGTTAAGTATTAACATAGCACTGGAAACATTTGATTGATATTTAATATGTAGTTACAGCAGATCTCTCCTTCTCTTATAAATGATTCAGTGCATTCAGTGGCAACTCCCACTTATGAACATCTCTCAGGGTTTCATTTCTGATAGGACAAAATACTCATTATATGGGATTTAAATCTTTCCTTCTAATTTTACCCCCATTTCTTATTGCCTTCATATAGATTAGGGTATTTCATTTTTCTGTAAAACAGTTCTCAGACTTGTTAAGTCTAAGTCTGTTGACACCCTCTCTGAAGCCTTGAGTAAGTCCAGATTCTTGGGTCACTAATCTTCTCCTTGGGTAAAAAAAAAAAAAAAAGTATTAGAATAGAACTTCTATTTGTATGCATCCATGGTCAGAAAAGAAATACAAATTGCTTAACATTTCTAGGCATATAGAGATGCTCAAGTAATACTAATCTTTCTAGGCCTTCCCCTAAAGGTCTGGAAACAGGTCTAAAAGCTCATAGTATTGAGATAAAGACAAAGATAGGAATTGCTGCAATTTCTAAGACCTGAGATGGATTACTTAAAAACCTATGGTACTGCTTTTATTCTTGAAATGATCCCTGTCATAAGACCATCTCCCATGACTTCTAATGCCATTTGTGCTACGGTCTTTATAAAGTAACAGTTTGTGTTTTCTTTTCTTAAGATTTTATTTATTTATTCATGAGACACACACACACACACACAGAGGCAGAGACATAGGCAGAAGGGAGACACAGGCTCCCTGCAGGAAGCCCAATGTGGGACTTGATTCCAGGACTCTGGGACATGCCCTGAACCGAAGGCTGATGCTCAACCACTGAGCCACCCAGGTGGCCCCTGTGTTTTCTTTTTGTAAGTGGTTCAGTAGTGTTAGCTCACATTCTAGGCATATTATGGGCTCTGGCATTGGACCAATAATCTAATCACTAAGCAGGGGTAAACAATAAATAAATATAAGCAATTACTGGCTTAGAAGAAGTTTTAATTTAATTTTTGAAAATGAACTTAAAACAAAGGCTGAGAAGCCTGAGGCAAAGAAGCCTCAGGTAGAAATGTCACTGCAAATAAGAATATTGCTAAGACCTGTATTTCAGGAGTAGTTATATCAGTGACTATGACCTTGTACCTGAAGGGCAGGGTATCCAAAATAAAGAGTATACAAATTTGGGAAATGACTGTTCAAAAAGGGAATTATACCATACTTTATGGGGTTTTGAAAAGAGTTCAGGAGGTAATATATTTAAAGCATTCAGTGCTTGGCATAGAATAGACCCATATAAGTCAGTTCACTTGTCCTTATCCCTGAACCATGAAAAAAACAATAAACACTTTGGGCTCAGACAACAGAGGTTATTTGGAATTATTTGGAGGAGGAGCATACCAAGCAATAATTTTTCTGTGTATAGAGTGAAAATATAGGACTCCTGGATTCATTCATCATTATGCACAAAGATGCTGATTTGATTATTTCAAGAACTTATGAGCAGCCAAGCACAGCAGAAAAAAACAGACACACAGACCCAGAGACATATAGACACACAGACATATCTAGACTGCGTGTCCCTACTCCAGGGTAGCCAAATATTCCTTAATAATACTAAGTATTTCAAGTACTGCAATTTGTACTTCTATATAGTTAAGTCCCATCCCACACGTAGAAACTTGATCACATACAAAGAACTGGTGTCCGGCAGAGTTGAATGAGGAGAAAGATGAACAGCTTTGAAGGAAGTAAGCTTTACACCTAACTGCTTTGAGTTGGCAACAGCTTTGGAAACATCATATAATTCACTCTGCAGCCCTGTACATGGAAAGATATAATGAAAAATATACTTTATTTTAAAACACAAAAAGGAAATTCATTGCAGTATTTTTATGCTAAGTATCATCAATACCACCAGTTTGCCACCTTGTATTATCCTACATATTTATATATAAATTATTACAGCTACTCTCTGCCTGATTTTCAAACAGTGTGTGGGATTTTCAAATCCCCATCATGTTGTTTCACATAATCGTGATCTTCCATGAACCTTTCTGATGGGAATATCCCTTAGGAATTTGGAATTGCTTGTGGGATTTTCTTGATTTTTCGACTTCTCAGACTTATCTTAAACTCCTAAAGGTAAGAGAAATTTTATAACTCTAAAAGTCTATAATCTACCGTATAGCTAGAAGCATAAAAGAACTGATTTATTTGGCATGGCATTCTGACTTAGAGTCTTCCAGCCTCTTGCCTAGATGTCCATTACAGAAATATCAAGGTATAAATTTAGTTGGTGAGATTTATCCTAAACTTAACTCACTTGAATCCTACTCGTTTATCATAGCTATACTATGTTATGTATAAATTTTCATTCAGTACTTGCATGTAAAGCACTATGCTGGGCAATGCATCACAGTGAAACACAAGAATTACAGTCTCTGTTCTGATAGAGCTCACTGCTTGGCATGTTAGCTTCTGTTTACTTAGAACTGCCTTGCTCTGCTTCTCCAAAATCTTATCAGCTCTATCTTTTCCATTCGGGGTCCTGATTAATTTTATCTTCTGGAAATTGACTTTCCAACTTCCATCCATATCTAAAGGCTTTTTTCCTCCTTCCAGTAAGTCACTTCCTCTTGAAGAATACAGGACTACATGAATAGGAAGACATGTTGAACACAATCTGATATTTAAACTTTGGTTCCTCCCTCAGGGAGTTAAATCTACGAAGAGATAAGTAGGTATTCAAGTTATTGCTATTAAAAATTATAGATGCTGTGGCTAGAATTCCATATTATAACCTGGAATTACATTGAAGTAATTCAAGAGACTATGAGACAATATAGTTCATCCTAACCGAGGGTATGGATAGTAGTTCAAATAAAATTTCTTTTTTTCTAAATTAGACTGAAATAATTTTTTCTAAAAGTCAGACTAACATTTCTTTTTTTTTTTTTTTAAGATTTTATTATTTATTCATGAGAATACACAGAGGAGACAGAGAGGTAGAGGCACAGGCGGAGGGAGAAGCAGGCTCCGTGCAGGGAGCCCGACGTGGTACTCGATCCGGGGTCTCCAGGGTCACGCCCTGGGATGAAGTCAGGCGCTAAACCGCTGAGCCACCCGGGCTGCCCAGACTAACATTTCTTTAATAAAACTTTTTAAAATTATAAGATGTAGCAGAGAAAACTGCATAAGACAAATGCATAACTTTATTATATATTTTAACTACTACTAAGGCCACAAAATAAAAGTTCATTAATCATCTTTTTTTAAACTTTTATTTAAATTAAATTACTTAACATAAAGTGTATTATTAGCTTCAGAGGTAGAGTTCAGTGATTCAACAGTCTTATATAACACACGTGCTCATGACATTACGTGCCCTTATTAATGTACTAACCATGTTCTACTTATCATTCTCCCAATCACAATTCTCTCACTGTCCTCTAAATAAGGTCCTTGTTTTAAGTTTTATTTGCAAGTGTGAGTCCATAAGCACTATTATTAGATTTTGTCCACTTTTTGTCTGGTAAATCTTTTCATCTACAGGTTTTCTTTCAATATCTGTATCTTCTCCCCACCTCTCTTTAAAAATCCTTTCAATTTATTTGTTGAAGAATCCAGTTTGTTGGGTAGAATTTCCATAGTTTGGATTTTGCTGATTATCTCTCCATGGTGTTGCTGACCATGTCCTTCTGTCCTTTGTGTAGATTACCATTTTAACAAATTATTTTCTCCTTGCTCACAGAAGGAACTTGCATCGACTGTCCTGTCTTTGTCTACCCTACCTCCTCAGGAAGGAAAGACTTACTAATTGGAAAAGACAGAACTCAGGCCATTTATTGAATCATAGGTTATTGGACCATATTACCAGCAAGCAGGCTTCTGAAACTTTTAGTTTAGTGCTCATGTAAATGAGCTCTCTTATGTCCATGCAACTACTAGTGAACAAAAGAGCCTGGCCTGTCTGTAACTGTATACTTTTTCATTACCTATCCTCCCATGGCCAACACAAAGAGTTTGACTCCTAGTAGTCAGTGGGTTAACCCTGATTTAATATTGTTTATGGGTGGCTCTTAGATTAAAAATGACAAACACATTCCTGTGCAGAGTGTGCTGTTACTCTGAACACTGGGCACTGAAGTTGCTCCATTGCCTATTTTTTTTTTTTTTTTTTTTTTTTAAGATTTTACTTACTTTTTCATGAGAGTCAGAGAAAGGCAGAGACATAGACAGAGGGAGAAGCAGGCTCCCTGGAGCTTGATGTGGGACTCGATCCCAGGGCTCCAGGATCATGACCTGAGCCAAAGGCAGATGCTCAATTACTGAGCCACCCACATGCCCCTCCATTGCCTAATTTTTAATCTATCCAGGCAGCCCAACCAGTAGCTCTGTGGCTCAAGATAAAAGATTGGCCATTTCTATGGCGGTAGTAGGTCTTTGGAGTTGTTCATGATTTGGGTATGTTTTGGAAATAGCACTCTTTAGGTGCTCTGGTTAAAAATAGTGAAGATACTGATGATTTCTTTGAAGCTACTCAGTATTTCAAGGAAACTGTAGTTCTTACCATAGAAGCCCATAGCCAAGAGGCCACATCAGCGGCCAAAGGTAATGCCCTACACTGATTACATGCTAAATGAGAGGCCTTTAACACTCCAGCTATTTTAGGTGCTATTAACTTACATCTGTCCCCACTAAACTTCAGGAAGGATGACTGTGTCAATTTAAATGACGATACCTGACTCATGACTAGCAGCTCAGCCTGCTGGGGGAAAAATACTGGCAATTATAGAGCTGTTCTCTTCCTAATGATGGCTGCAGGTGATTTGAGGAGAGTGGGGCTATAGCACCACCATCTATACGATTACTGCCATGATTTTTCACACCAAGGAAAAGATATACTCATTTCCACATTAAAGTAATAATGGTGAAAACATTTTCCTAGTTTGGCTAAATGAGTGGTAGAACCATGTCTCATGTCTAACCAGTGTAACTGAGGTAAATATGTAAAAGTGAGAGATAGTTTAGAACTTCTACTATAACACCTTTTTGAGCATTTCCAAATGGATGTGATAAAACACCCCAAATCTTTAGGTTATGAATATGCATTGGTCATTATTTGCAGGTAGGTAGGAACTTTTTCCTTGTGAGAGGGCCTCAGTTGTTTGCTGCTGAAAAAAATTATCAGACTTTGTATTTCTAGCACGAGGAATCCTCCCTTGCTATCAAATGATCAAGGAATTCACTTTCAATGGAAAAGTTAAAAACAGTAACTTCATTGACTGTATCACCCCCCAATTGTTATGAAAAGTTGAAAAAGTGATACACTAAAGCTGAAATTGTCCATGCGCACTATCAGAAACTCTAAATCTAATTCAGACTTGGCCAAAATTCTTCCACTAGCATTGACAACCATGCAATAATCTCCTTGGATCTCAAATATACTCTTATCTTACTAAATCATGTCAGATATCATATGCAAATCAGTTAATTATCTCTTTCCAGAATCACCTGCTTCAGAAAGAAGAAAAGACCTACCTATTGGCTTATAGTTAAGTTAGAGTCACTTTAAAAGATTGTGACAGGAAATGATTAAGAGTAATAAAGAAACATATGCTGTGATACTTAGTGATATCCATATTACAGTAACAGTGGGGGTAAATATCACTTGAAAGCAGCCCCATTTAAACGTCCTCTACTTACCCGAAAGGCCAAGCCTCATTAGGAGTAAAACAAGTGTTCTTACAAAACATAATATGTAAATTTTAAGTACATAAAATGTATATATATGAATTTGTCCACTTATGTGGACATTATCATATATATTATCATATATGTGAAATATATCTATCTGACATGTATGACAAAAATGAGAAAAAAAAAAAAGACTGCCTAATGTCTTGCACTTGATGTCACCTTGTATTTGAAAAACTTGATCCCAGTTGATAACATCACGTTCTTCCAATAGCTGTTGGTAAGCCCTGACATCCTTGTAGAACACAGCATAGGCATTAGTATAATGGTCCAGGTTGTCTGTCTCAGCCTGGGGCAGAAGACATAATCATAAAAACATACATATATTCTCTAGGTAACTCAAATCCCAGATAGATTAGATACCATTGACTACATATGTCTAGATAATTCCTGTTACCAAAATTAGCCACCTATTAACAATGGCTAGATGGGAATGTGGCTAATATACTATAGTGAGGGAAAGAACAGAAATTTTGGAACTTTTGCTTCATTATATTTCTGGTATTTGGGAAATTTTAAGATATTTATTTCATATTTTTCTGGTATTTTATTTATTTATAAAAATGAAAAGTGTATAACTTAATGGAGACACCTTAAATAGAACTCTCAGAACTTTCCTATGTGGTCAGTGTAACACATTTGATCATGTGAGCTTCCCCTTGTCCTCAAAGAATGGGGTAGGTGTCATCCTTTTCAATCTTCTTATGTATTTACCCACATGACCAAAGTCATTGGTCCTCAGCAATCATCAAACAAGAGGAAAAATGAGTATGCAGAAGTATGTATGCTTCATTCTTCTAGAAATTGTGAAACACTGAAGAAACACTATTGAACACGTTTTTCATATGCCTGATACTCCAAAGACAATCAAATTAGAAACTAATGGTGAAGGGCACCTGGGTGGCTTAGTGGTTAAGCATGTTTTTGGCTCAGATCATGATCTCAGGGTCCTGAAATCAAGTCCCACATCAGGCTCCCTACTCAACAAGGAGTCTGCTTCTCCGTCTGCCCCTTCCCAATGCTTGTGAACATGTTCTCTCTCTCAAATAAATAAAGTCTTAAAAAAGAACTAATGGTGAAATATGTAGCTTCTTATGCTAATATATATGGCTGTGATGATTGTAATATTGCCTTTACCTAATCTTTTCTTTTTAGTTGATGCCAACTCCGGTTTTGGGGGTTTGTTTTAGCCTTTTAAACCTGTACCTCTTTCTGTCGCCGGGTGATAACAGCTTTGAAGTCTGGCCATGAATCCACTACCACTTCTTTTTGAAAGGGATTCCCACGATTTATGTTCATCACTGCTCCATAGACCTGAGCCAGAGAACCCAGAGAGACAAGCCAATCACATTACTAATTCTTTCAGTTTCATATTACCGTTTCCACTTCTTCTTCTATGGTATAATTGTGGCCATGAGAGGGGAAATTATATACACCTATATATACACCTATATATACAACATGCACACATACAAACCTTTCTCTTGCTTTTTCATTACTATACATGAAAATTGTAAAAGTCTAGGAAAGCCTAAGAAAACTCTCCCCAAACTTAGGTTTTTACTGTACAGCAGTGAGAGGTACCGAAACAACATGCTGAGTAAATGGCACACAGATCAATAATACATACTTACAGAATGAATCAGAGTATGATATATGGATTTAGGGCTAATAATCATTGAGGGTAATCCCCCTTCCCCAAAAAGCCCCCTGCTTTTCATATTTCATGGAGCGAGGCTCTATAAGCATTCCCTGAGGGTTGTAATTATGTCTTATTCATGATTACATACATGGAGTCTGACACAGTGGATCAACTGGTTGTTGACTAAACAATACTGAATGTTAGGATTCTGGGAACACCTGGGTGGCTCGGTGGTTAAACATCTGCCTTCAGCTCAGGGTGTGATCCCAGGGTCCTTGAGTTGAATCCCGCATGGGACTCCCCTGCAGGAAGCCTATTTCTCCCTCTGCCTGTTTCTGCCTCTCTCTGTATGTCTCTCATGCATAAATGAACAAAAATCTTTTAAAAAATAGAATTCTGTTCTGTGGCCTTTCATATTTTTTTTCTCCACTAAGAATCATAGATGCTTGCCCTACAAAACCACTTTCATATGCTATGGGTGCTTACAGAGAAGAGATAATTGTGGTTGTAACAAGGAGAGATGAGCTCCAGGCTAGTGTTCCTAGCAGTATTTTCATAATAAATAGAAAGTGAAAACAGTGTAAATCTCCATAAGCAGTGGACAAAATGAATACATTGCAGTATATTCATACTATGGATTATAAAACAGAAACTTAATGTTGAGCAAAAGAATGTAGATACAAAAAGATATCCTATGTGCTCCAATTTATATTATATTAAGAAACAGATAAAACCAAATTATGGCTTTAGAAGTCAGGATGGTGGTTACTTTTGGGGAGCAAGGAAAGATAATGTTTGGAAAAGAGCACTGGGGGGTGGGATAGGGAGAAACCACGTCTGAGGTAATGCTTTCTTTATTGGATTGCAGGTTGTACAGATATTTACTCTATGAAAATTCAGAGAGTTACATAATTACGTTGTGTGCACCTTTAGAATGTGTTATACTTCAGTGAAAACTAAATTATAAGGGAATTGGAACCTACATCTTACCTCTTTTATCACATCTTGATTCAAATCACTTACCTCAATACCTAGAACATTATTCAACTCTCTTCTGTCTGGCCCAGTCTGGGACCTCACTCAAATCTTTCATAGAAAGTATCTTTTCAAATTTAGTTGGGCTAATACTTAGTGAAAATCTGAGAATCAAATTAACATGGAAGGGTCATGCTTTTTCTCTTTAAATTCTGGGGCTGCCAATCTTAATTATACATAATCATAAGTTTATTAAAATGTTTATTCCCATGAAGAAACAATATATCTCTTTTCAAAGATGGAACTTAGTATATGAGTGGAATGTTTAGAAGGTTTAAAAATGTTCTTTCCAATATTCAGATTGTGAAAGAAAAAAAAAACATGACCTGTTTGTAAGAGATTTTCAGCTGACTGAAAGATTTGGCATTAGTTGAGAATAACAAAACAAATGCTTTTGACAGCTATTTATTCAAAAGGTGAGTGCTGTGAGGAGATGGGAAGTAGCTAGGGGAAGTAAGGATGCTTGCTGGAGGAATGAGCAGTTGGAGTTTGTGAAAGAAATTTGGAGAGATATTTAATTACTGAAATACTAACATGAGGTAGGTGAGGGGATGGTGAAATAGGTGATGGAGATTAAGGAGTGCACTTGTAATGAGCACCGGGTGTTGTATGGAAGTGTTGAATCACTAAATTGTATACCTGAAACTAATATTACATTGTAAGTTAACTGGAATTGAAAAATTTTAAAAAAGAAAAAAAAGATTATAAAATACATACCCATAGCCTCAAAAAATGGAGGCAGTGTGACCAACAAAACATTTTATTCTTTATCGTTTTTATTCTCTAAAGGGCATAGTATAAATAGAAGAGGTATTTTGAAAGTATGGTCAGAGAACCCAAGCTAGGCATTATACAACAATGCAATAATTGAAGACAAAGAGACTCAAAGATAAGCTAAGCAGCTATTAAAGAGAAGATTATACAAGTAAGCCATTGATTTGTGCCTAGCCTACACAGTTTATTTATCTCTTATTTCAAATGGTGTTATGAGAAGCAAACCTTTAAAAAAAAAAAAACAAACAACCAACCACGCAGTTTGTAATCTGATAACTTGGATTTAAATCTGAACTCTTGCACTTACATACGGGAAGAGATTTAGTAATATCACCCGTAAAATTATGTTAATACCTGCCTATTTAGAGGTATTAATATTACACAGGGATTAATAGGTTTTATAAAGTTCAACTGAGATAATGTGAAAGATATTTAAAAAAAATGATACATACTATTTGGATCAACTCAACTAATTTGAATTCAGAGATCCTTAAAAAATAAGATTGGAACAGGTGAGGGCTAATAAGTAATTATTTTATAACATTGCCAGTGACCAACAACAGTTTATTGAGAATTATTATGAGCAAAGCCCCACGGCAAACAGTATGGGAGGTGTCAAAAAAAAGTCAATATCTACACCTGGGCATCTGGTAGCTAAGCTGTTATGTGAAAAGTAGTAAATATGAAAACAAAGAAACTGAGATTTAACCAATTCTTTACTTGCTTTTATCTTTTTTGGATTCCAACTTATTCATTTCTAAAATGGGTTAATGGACATCTTACAAAGTTGTTGGAAGGATAAAACAAATTAAAATTATCTGTCTGCTAAATTACTATCCAAATATAATATTTATAATGTAGGTGCCCATCATTTGTCTTGATGATTATATCTTAGAAGGTTACCTGTGAAGGTCACCAAAACCTTTTTAGTTCTTTCTGGCAAAAGAGTGGGCCAAACATTGATTTGCCACAGTGTATGCATTCAAAATGGGAAATTTCCAGTCAGATTGTCCATTTGGTATTCTTTTAGCCATACAATTCCAGGTTATCAATCAGTTTTTCTCTAGCACACATAGGTTAAACATGATCCATAAGGCAAGATGATTAGATTTAATCAACTCAGTACAGTGCTCTAGATCACTTTTTAAAGTTTAGTGTAAACAAGGATTATGCAGGGTGTGTGCCAAAAACACAGGTCTCAAAAACACTATGATTTATTATATCTCTTCTGGATTAATAGCAGGCCACTCACATTTGCAGTCAAATACTCTTAATACTGAGCTATTTTCGCCCTGCCACTCATATTTAAAAATCACTGTTGTACAGCTATCTCTTTGATCAAGAATCTCAGCCTTCAAAGACAATTTCTTTGCATTCTGCATTTTTTCTCCAAGTGCTTAAAATATTTTTAATCTCACATTAATTTGTAATCTCTGATCAATGTCCTCTTCCACAGTAGCTCTGAGTTGTCAGCAGGCCCTCATGGACATTGAGCCAACTTCGACAGATAGAGGTTTAATGACCAACAAAACCATTGAAAAAAAACTTCAATAATTAAGATGTTGAAAATAGTCAGAAAAATTTTATAATGACCCCTGAACCTCAGCTCCATCATAAACCTAGGTTATGTTCTTATGAGCAATGACACTTAATCCATACCCTTCTGCCATTAAAAAAAGTTTAAAACTCGAGTTTACCTTAGAAATAATCTAGTCCATCACCACCCAAGTTTTCCTAAAAGTAATTTAAAGTGACAAAAAACAATCATCAGGGCTGTATCTACAATGCATGGATGGAATCAGTCTAGCAGGAGGGGGACTAGGAAACTGTTTAATAAGTGCTCCAAGAAAGTCCTGACATCGAAAAAAATTGGGAAACAGCCACAAGTCTAATATTACATCATAGATTAATAAAAGAAGAAATTAAAGAAAGCCCTTAAATGTAGAATACCTTGAGTGATTCAGGAAAGTGACTCTTCAACATTTTTTCCAGTATCAGTAATTTGGTAGAACAGTTTAGCACTTGCATCTTCTCCAGAGCTCTAGCAATTCCACACCTAATTAAAAACCTGAAGGTATATGTTTAGTTTTTGCTTGTTAACATTTAAATCTCCTGAGGAATATCCTTGAAGTCCTGTTTTCACTGGATGTAATTTGAAATGCAGCTGCTCCCTCTGAAGAGGAGAGAAGAAGGAAGAAGAGAGGCACTGGAGTGGGTAAAGCAGAGAACATATGGAAATAGGGAATGTTAATGACCGAATCCTGGATAGAAGAGTATCCATACTGGGTTAAGTCTTCCTATGATACACATTCACTGTACACTAAACTCTTCCTTTAGGACATAGTAGCAGTTGTAATGACACATTTATTTGTGTTTCATTAAGTATGTCTCAGACTGGGAGGTAAAAGAAGGAAGGATACATCTGCTTTGTGCTCCACTGTATCCCCAGCATCTACAGGGCCTGGCACATAGTAAAAGGCAATCTAAGCAGCTGCTGAATGGATGATAGGAAACTCAGAGTAAGAGTCTTAGGGTTAAGTAGAGATACTCCTTTTCACAATGTGGGGCAAAGACCAGAAAACGACGTGAGTGGGTCAGGTGAACAACTTGCAGAGAAACACCTAGATTGAAGATGAAAAATCAGATGTGAGCAAAGGCTGAGGCTCATTTTAGTTAGATAAAACCAAGGAATGAAAAAGGGACTTAATACAATGTATATAATTTAACCGTTGATATATAATTATATTTTCTAGATTTGGGGGCTACGTATCTCCTGCTTTTTGTCCCTAAGAAAACATTTTTCCCCCAAAGTTCCAATCAAGTCTTGACTGATTTAAAACATATTTTTTTTCCTCTATATTTGCAACAGGGTAAAATATATTAAGAAAAATTAAGTTTAAATTAAAATTCAGGCAAGGTAGAAATAAACGTACATGCCAGCAGGTAAAGCAAATGGACTATAGTTTTACATATAAAGTTAATACTCTTTTATTTTTTTAAAGATTTATTTATTTATTCATGAGAGACAGAGAGAGAGAGAGAGAGAGAGAGAGAGAGAGAGAGAGAGAGAGAGAAGCAGAGACACAGGCAGAGGGAGAAGCAGGCTCCATGCAGGGAGCCTGATGTGCGACTCCATGCCGGGTCTCCAGGATCACGCCCTGGGCTGACGGCGGTGCTAAATCGCTGAGCCACCTGGGCTGCCCAAGTTAATACTCTTTATTTGTGGATTCCATATTTGTGAATTCACCTACTTGCTAAAATTTACCTGGAGCCCTTTAAATCAATACTCACAGTGCTTTCACAGTTATTTATGGATGTATGTGAATCTCCAGTGCCAACATTATCAGTTGAAGTTGCAGAAGCTGACTCCCTGTTCCAGCTCTTGTACTCTAAATATTTATTTGCTTTCTGTTGGTGATTTCACTATTTTAAAATGGCCCCAAGCATAGTACTCAACAGCTGTCTAGTGTTCTTATGTGCAGACTGTGATGTGTCTTACCAAGAAGATACATGTGTTACATAAACTTCCTTCAAATGTGAATTATAATGCCCTTGCCTCTGAATTCAATGATAAAAAATCAACAGTATGTATTAAATAATGTGTCTTTAAACAGAAATGCACATAAACAAGGTTATGTGTTGATCTTCTGATGAAAATGTTGTGATTAAAGACTTGCAGAAACCTAATCTTATGTTTTCCCTACCGACGGTGATCCCTGTGGCATTATGGAACATAACTACCACAATGAGAATCAAGTGTATTTGCAGTAAGTAGAGCACATTTTGTACTATAAGCTTTCTAGCAGCCAACAACAAGAGAAACAAACATGATTAGTTACATGGTTCAGCTTGTCCATACAATTAGTCTTATGTTCTTGGGGCACGGCTCTTGATTTCGGCTCAGCTCTTGATTTCGGCTCAGGTCATGATCTCAGGGTCCTGGGATGGACCCCCATGTCCAGCTCCCAACTCAGCTGGGAGTCTGCTTCTCCCACTCCACCACCCTCATGCCCCCTCTGCTTGTGCTCTCTCTCGCTCTGTCAGAAATAAATAAAATCTTAAAAAAATTTTTAAGTACAATAAATAAATCTTTAAAACATTATTCTTATGCTCTTTACCATAGCATTTGCTTGACTTTTCACTTGTATTATCGCTAAATGAAATTCTCTAATTTCTAAATAATCAAAACCCTCCGTGATCTGGCTTCAATATTCCTTTCTAGATTAAGAAGCTCTTTCAATTCACGAATTATGCAAGGAGACAAACATTGATGACATTAAAATCAGAGAATCATTTCTCCCATGGGTTCAAACAGAGAGGGCATTATAATTAATGAACACCTCTGGACAATGATCTTTCAGTAAACAATGATGAATTTCATAAGGACCTTTCTTTTATGAAATAGATACTTTTTGAAGGCCACGAAACAGAATGCAGGAATTCTCAGAGACAGAAAATATATTTTACAGATTTTTGAATTACATTAAAAAGTCTTAATGACAACCATTAATTCTGAAAGCCATAAGATCAGAGGGTCATAATACCACCAATCAATTATAAATTCCCCATAATTCATATCTGTTCTAGAATTGGAAGGTGAAGACTTGTAATTCCTCTGGCTCAACTGTTATCAACAACAGACTAACTGAAATCTTTGTCAAAGAATGTAATTATACTCATTTAAGTTTTAGGGATTAAGTTTATTTGGGGCACTGAAATGTCCCTCAGCACACAACAGGCACCTAAAATATTTTAACATTAATTGGACAGTGAAAACAACACTCTCCTGGGAGGCCTTTCTTATAAATAAATAAAGTATAAAATCTCTGTTTTTATAAAGATAATATAGCGCTTACAGTACAATGGTGAACATTTGTTAATGAGGAAGTCGAGTTTTTTAAAGCACCTCTGATCCAATGCTAGTATTTATTTTTCAACTGATAGGCTTTCTCTTTAGAGATGCCTCTTTTATCGGTTTCTCTAGTTGTGCCCCTATCAGTGCAAATAATTTTATATTCTGTAATGCTTCTTTTTCTCATATTAAAATTTAAAACAGTAAAACAAAAAGCAAACATCTTTTCCTGTAAACCTGATGATATATTCTTCCTGTATAATACTGAAATTCATCTCCCCTATTTCTCTCATTTCTTCTTGCAATTATAATCAATATTCGAAATGTTATTTTAATGAATAAATGCTTACCTGCTGTTGAAAGTTCAGTTTGTATCAGGGTAGTGGTTCCTTCTTCATAAATGGTGACTTTATTCTTCAAGCCTACGTCCCTAATTAGTCCTTAGTGGAAAGAGGAAAGGGGAAAAAAAAGTGTCCACACCTGTAGTTAGGGAGGAGTTTATGGTGTCAGGTGAAAATCATCATGCATACAGCACTAGTATTTTCACTCCACCTCTTCTATCACATTTAGACTTATGGTGTAAAAAACAGTGAATACTAACCTTGATTTAAAGATGGACATTTTCTGGACCCCAAACCAACTATCTGTTAAGATCTCATGAAAGAGAACAGAAAGGAATGGGACACAGGTGGATGGGGTACAATAAGGAAATGACAAAGAGGTACTGACTTCTTATATCTTTTTTATCTATTTTGAAGGAAATGATTTTGCTATCCTAAATTTCCAAAGCTGACAAAGGGGTAATGCCTAAAGAGTAAAGTATACTTGTGGAATTGAGAGTATTTTTGATCATTTTAATTCTTACTCTATTCTTTTAAATGTACCATCAGTTTATTTGCCTCCCTCAAATGGCTGCAATTTTAAACGATAAGCCAACACTTACATAGGCATCTTGGCCCCCAACACAATACCTGAACTTTGGGATAATAAACAGTATGAATGTCTCAATGGCATATGAAGAGTGCTTCAATTTGAATGTGGTCACATGGGAGGATACTGTTTGTCATCTTTATGTCTCTTAAAGTCAAGATCGAATGATGGGGAAACTCAATGCATTCCCCCCCTTTTTAAAAGATTTATTTGAGGACGGGCAGTAGGGGATGGACAGGAGAGAACCTCAAGCAGAATCCCCGCTGAAGGCAGAGCCCAGGCTGGGCTTGAACTCATGACCCTGAGATTATGACCTGAGTTGAAATCAGTAGTCTGATCCTTAATCAACTGAGCCACCCAGGTGTCCCTGGGGCATTCTTTACTTGAAGGTGCTTGTTTAAGTAACACAATGGGTAGCTGATAGCTGAAAGTGACTGGAAAAAAGGTATTAGATGCCAATTACTGAAAGTCAAAAGCAGACTGGTTTTTTTGATCCAAGTATATTGATAATTAAAAAAATATATATATTTATTTAGGGGTACCTGGGTGGCTCAGTGGTTGAGTGTCTGCCTTCGGTTCAAGTCGTGATCCCAGAGTCCTGATATGGAGTCCCGCATTAGGCTCCCTTTGGGGAGCCTGCTTCTCCCTCTATGTCTCTGCCTGTTTCTCAGGAATAAATAAAATCTTCAAAAAATTTATTTATTTATTTGAGAGTGAGTTGGGGGAGGGGCAGAGAGAATCTCGAAGCCAACTTCAAGGTGGGGTTTAGTAGCAAAGAAATACATTCTGTGGCAGCAAATCTTTTTTTTTTTTTTAAATTTATTTATTTATTCTAAATTTCTCCCTGCCTTTGCTTCTTTCTTCTCCCTTCCTCAAAGCGAAGTATTTCTTGACAATGAATGAAACATGAGAGGATTTAGAAGACTTATGTTTGTAAACTAAGCCAACCTGATTTACATAATAAGTTTGACAGGCGCACCTGCATTTAGTTTTGGTGAATGCCAGGAAATTCTATCCAAACAAATAAAGGAAAGTAAATTCCTTAATTTTAGGTTCCAGTTTAGGTGTCTAATATTTAAGCAAAACCTGTTTTGTTAAACACATGCCCAAATTAAAATTGGGGAAAATGGAAGGGTTCCTATAAAATAAGAATTTCAAATACAGACAGCACACTAAGTTCTTCCATTTGTCTATACAAGACACCTATTTGCCTCCCAAGTCATAACTTACCTTCTTTCTTTTACACTATGTATTTATACTATATATCTTCCAAAATTTGTATGTTTTAGACTTGAAAGTTTGTGGCAAGTGGCACTCTCCACTTGTTGTGGTGAGAAGTTATACTATAGTTGGCATGACTTGAATGAGAACATAGGTGAGTGAAGCTACTACATAGGAGGATAGCCATCTGAATTGTTGGGATCATGTGCAGTTGAATTTTAATTTTATTTGGGTCTGTAATTAACTCTTAAATTCTTCACAAAGAGTATAACAAACTTAGCCTTTGAAGAAAATATTGTGTATGTTTTGGATTGCCCACTATCTGCCAGAAGATATGATAGATCTTTCAAAATCAGGTCACATACTTTTCAAAACTGCAAGAAAGCAATATGACCAGTCATGCATGGTAAAGCACTATCACTCTGCAAAACTTAAAAATTCCAGCTGTATCAATAACCCACTGAGTGGATATTCTAAGAGAAATAGCAGACTTTCTATTAATCCCCCCTACATCAAAAGCTATTATAAACATCATGATTAACAATAAAGATCAGTGAGCTGGGGCTCTATTCATCACTCTAAAAGCAAGAAGTTCTAAGTTTCCAAGTGAGGGGTTTTATAGAGATTTTGTATTATTCTTTTACTTTTAGTTGCTTTGCCTGGCATATAGCAGGCAGTCCAAAGTACACAAAAATGTTTTAAGTGCTGCGCTATAGGTTTCCTTTCTTGAAGACTTTTCCTCTAGAATCCATTAATGTTCTCCATAACCATTATTTCCTAAGAGGATATTGCTTTTGACCCTTTTACTAGGCTCTCTCGGATTCCACATGACAATGTGGTCTCCCTCACTGCAATGAGCATTACACTGTATTTAACTAAAGCTGTGTTCTTGGTGGTTTCTGCCTGGAGGGTACCAACAGAATTATGGCACCTTCTACCTAACTGATCAGATATTCTAGGCTAGAGGAAAAATAATTAGAAATTGCAGTTATTTTATTTTAGAAACAAAAGCAAACCAGACAATATATTGTAGTGACTAGAGAAGATTTTTAATATATTTAAGTGGTAATTTATTCACATGTACATATTTGTTTCAGGATTTCTTTTCCTTTAGTGCTGCAGGTCTTGGTCATGCTGCTTGGAAGAAGGAATAGATAGACTGGATAAAGAATGAGCAATATGGGATCCCTGGGTGGTCCAGCGGTTTGGCGCCTGCCTTTGGCCCAGGGCGCGATCCTGGAGATCCGGGATCGAGTCCCACATTGGGCTTCCGGTGCATGGAGCCTGCTTCTACCTCTGCCTGTGTCTCTGCCTCTCTCTCTCTCTCTCTCTCTCTCTGTGACTATCATAAATAAATAAATAAATAAATAAATAAATAAATAAATAAATAAATAAATAAATAAATAAATAAAAAATTAAAAAAAAAAGAAAAAAAAAAAAGAATGAGCAATAGTACAAAGTTCCTGAAGAGGGAGGGGACCCAAGAGGATTGCCACTGGAGTTTCTAAGTCTAGAGGTTTTTATGAACTCTTTTGGAGTACTATCTTAAACAACCGGGGTGTACTAAGGCATGTAAATCAGGGCTTTGATCACACATTTGTCTACCTATTAAGTTAATAGCTATGTGCTGATGGTCTTTTGGGGCTGACATCTGGGGACTTAGGTCTTAACTGCCTCAGCTCATGATAATGACAAATACTTTGTTTTATTTTACAACATTTTGCAGAAGTCATTTCTACAAAGGCTGCAGAACAAAATGCTAGTGCAGTCTTGCTTAAGCTGCAAAACAGGACATCAGTACTGTTTTGTCTTAGCTGTCCTGACTCTATGTTCTCTTGTTGAGGACTCCAGCCCTGACTACCTAACTGTCCAACAAACTCCTAACATTCAGACGACGCGATAAAGTTTATAGAAAGGGTTTTTTGTTTGTTTGATTTTTCTTTTAAGGGAACAGATGTGCTCATGTTCCTTTAAATAAAAGTATGCTTTAATGATAGTGGAAAATATTCAACACCTAGTCAATAAACCAACCAAAGAAATAAAATGTTCATGCTACTCCCAAAGGTAAAGACACTTGGCAAATCTTAATTATGTCACAAAAGGTCTAGAGGGTTATGTAAAAGAATAAAAGCATTTGGGGATTTTTCAGGTTCCAGATGACCAGACAGAAAATCCAAGTCATGAACTAAAGAACAATAATAATTGCAAACGATTATGTTCTTTTGTACCTGGCATTCCACACACTTTACATACATTATATCATAGTATCATAGTTCCTCTGCACTAACCAATAAATGAGCTCTATTCAGCCATTATAATTAGATTGCAGCTTAGGCAAACAACAAGACATAGCAACAGAAATGTGAGCTCAATTTGGCAACTACTAAAAACAGTTTTCAGGGCTACATTAGATGCTAATAGATCTACAGAGGCTAATTTTAAGTGCATATTGAAAATAAATCCCAAAGAAGTCTCAGCCTCTGCAGCATCATCATAGGCCAACAGTTTTTACAAACTCATAAACATTAAATTAATACAGAACAATCTAAAAACAACTCTTTAAGAGGCATCCAGTCTCTTATATGCTTCTTCAATGAAAGTTAACATATTCTTCATCTGGGATGAATTATGGAGAACATCCAAGTCCTTCAGAAGAGCGTTATGGTTTGGAATTAATGTCAAAATTTCTGTCTGTAGGTATGATGGTACAATTAGTTTAAAATTTTTCAAAACGGATATGATTGACATATAACATCATATTAGCTTCAGGTACATAACACAATGATGTGATATTTGTGTACATTGCAAAATGACCACCAGGACAAGTCTAGTTAATATGTAGCACCAACTCTGCCCCCCCCCCAAAAAATATGTAGCATACAAATTTACATACATAGTTACAAATTCTTCTTGTGATGTGAACTTTTAAAATCTACTTCCTTGACAACTGGGAAATATATGACAGTGCTATTGACTACCGTCACTCTGTTCTACATTACATCTCCATGACTGTTTGATTTTATAAATGGAAGTTTGTATCTTTTGACCACATTGACCCACATAAATAGTTTTTAACTTCTTATCATGAGAAATACCAAACGTATGTTATTTAGAGAGGATGGTTCAAACCTCATATACTCATCAACCAACTTCAGTAATCACCTCAGTCCTGTTTTTTCAAATTCGTATTACTGTTTTATTTTTTGCCCAGTCCCTTTCCTTTCGACCTAAATGGATTACAGATAGGACTACTTTAAATTATTTTTGAGAAACCTTGAAGACTTTCTACCACTATAAGTATTTACACTATATTAGAACCTGTGAAAACAGATACCAGTATACAGTCTGGTACAAGTAACACAACATTATTTTGTGAAGAGATATAAGTCATTGTTAGAAGCATAACCAAACTCAACTATTGGAATTTACCTCCACAAATCTATCCCACAGTTATGACCATACAAATATGTAAAGCTATATATAAAAGGGTATATTGAGCATTATCTGTAATTGCAAAAATTATTTATTTCTATCAGTAATTCACAAGTTATAGTATGGTACATTCATACAATGGAATGTTATACAGCTATTGATAAGAATGAGAAATCTACATGCAAGATGCTCACAAGGAAAGATGTTCAAACTATTCTGTCAAGTGAGAAAAATGTTGCCTAAGAACTTTTATCATGGATTTCATTTGTTTTAACAAAGGAGAAGGATATTATGATTTTATATATGCAATTCGTAACTGATGATATAGTTGATATGGTAAATTGACATTTACCTGAAGTATGGGAGCTTTGAGACTCTTCTGAGAAAGTTCTGGAAGAGAGAGTACCCCACTACTATCTATTTGAAACATCTAAAGTAGAAAAAGAAAGATAAATTATTTCAAAAGGCCAATTTTCTCTTCTTATATTCAAAAGTTGTCTTGGTGGGAGGTAAGCATTAAAAAATTGATCCAGGCTCTAGGAACACATTATTAAACAATTACCTGTTTTACTTTCTCCTCTTCTTCTTCCACCTCACTTGTCAGAACTTGAATTCTGTTCTTTAAGCTCTCAATATTCCCAGTCATTGACAATATGGTCTGGACTATTTTATCTATTTCTTCCTGAGTCAGAAAGAGAAAGTTAATGTTTTAAATTAAATATATTATTAAATGAAACCCAAATAGGTATTAATATACATTTTTAAAAATACCTCATATACTGAAACATTTTTGCAAGAAACTGGTAAATTTCTTCTTTCAAAAAACAGACTTCCAAGAAATTAATTTACCAGAATAATTCCTTATAAGGAAATTTAATTTCCATGGAACAAGGAGATATAACCCATGTACAAGAATATTTCCTCAAAAACTCATTGAAACTGCTACAATCAGAGATCCTGGAAGACCTATGTGAACCTAGCAGAGCCAAAGAATTGATGGCCTAAAAATCTCCTGTCCTTTGCCTATCCATCTCTATCCCTACCACATACCCCTGGCAACCACTGTCTTTTCATTCTCGTCTTGCCTTTTCTAGCATATCATATAATTGCATATCCTATAGTAATGGAGCCTTTTTAGCTTGGCTTCTTTCACTTAGGATTCATAATGTGCACTTATGGTTCCTCCATATCTCTTTAGGGTCTAATAGCTCATTTCTTTTTAGTGGTGAATAATATTCCATTGTTTGATGTACCATATTTATTTATCCATTCACCTAAGAAGGACATCTTGGGTTTCCAACTTTTGGCAATTATGAAGAAAGCTGCCCAAATATCCACGTGCAATATTCAAATATCCATCTACAATAAACCAAGGAGCATGATTTGTGTATCATGTAGTAAGAGTATGTTTCATTTTGTAAGTTACTGCCAAACTGTATTCTAAAGTGTTTGAACCATTTAGCATTTCCATCAGCCATGAGAATTCTTGTTGCTCCAAATCCTCATCTGCATTTATTGGTGTTCATGTTCTAGATTTTGGCCATTCTAGTAGATGCATATTAAGTCTCCTTTCATCTATAGTTTTCCACTCCAATTATCCCCTCTCATCTCTTCCAGCTTCTGATGGTATCAGCATTCCTGTGGCTGCATCCCTCCAATTTCTGCATTTTTCACACAGCCCTTTCCTCCATGTCTCCAACTCTTATAAGGACATTTTTTTTTTTTTTTTTTTTGGTTCTTTAAGGACACTAGTCTTTGGACTTAGGACCTATCAAGATAATCCAGGATGATCTCCTCTTGAGATCTTTAATTATACCTGGGAGACTCTCTTTCCAAATAAGGTCACATTCACAGCTCTTAGGGTTAGGACTTGCGCATATTATTTTTGGGGCCACTATTCAACCCACTAGAGAGGGAATGAGTAACAGTATGAAAAAAGGAAACAGTTATTATAATAAGGACTAAAAAATTCCATTGTAGTTAAAAAAAAATTATTTTGTTCCATTGCTTTGGTTATCTTCTTTGGGTATTCCTACCATTCCTACCATGCCATATCTTCTTTGCTGAGCTTTTACATTTGTCATTTGTTCTCAATACCTTTAAAAACATGTTTCTTTTTTATTAACCTTTTCTCCTTATTTTACTACTTATTGTAAGCATTTATCCCTGCATTTCCTTTAATCCTCCTCCTAATTTAATCTGCATCTGAAAAGGTTTTTTTACTTCTATTTTTTTCCTGAATTCTGTAGCTTCAGTTTTTAGTATTTCTAATACTGATTTATAATTTTTTTCTATACCTCCTGTTTTTCTGAATCACTTGTTTGCTTAAGAATTAGATAGTGTTCATCTGTTTTGTGAACTCTTGTTTTTGGCGTGCTTTCATTATCTGTGGATTGCTATTGTTTGTCCTTATTTTTATATTTTCTTACGCTAACTCTGATTGTGAAATTCTATGGCTCTGTTCTTATGCAGAGGTCCACAGAGATTAAAAAACTAAGCCCCAGCAGTTCCTATCCCATCTTCTCAGTCACAGAGACTTTGCTCACTACCACCTCTTCTATAGCACTATCACTGAGTGAGAGAGCTCAGTGAATACACTGTTGTTGAATGAATACAACTTCTGTTACTTATTAGCTGACACAGGTTTTGGAAAGTCACCACCAAGAATAACTCTACATTTAGTGATGAGTTCCTGTAGTTTGATAATCAAAAATAGTTCAGTTAAAGTCAGATGAAAAAAAATAGTAGTACTTAATCACTAATATATTAGAAATACTTTCAACTTTAGAGGCTCAAAGTTTAGGCAAAGTTTTTGCTGACTTAAAAAAAAAAGAAAAAAAGAAAAATTTAATGAAAACTGTTCTAAGATCTAGTATTTATTTTTCAGAGAATATCAGAGACTATCATGATAATTAAAAAAATGTCTTATTCTCTTCTCCTTTCTCCTAATTATGGAGTCCCTGTACAAATTTCATACCTGTAATAATGCCAGACCTTCTTCGTTAGCTCTGTGCTGTGCCCTTTCCATTTTCAGTAGGCTTGACACGTTAGTTAAATTTTTCAGCTTTTTGGGAGGGACTTTAAGGGTTTCACACAGTTGTAGCAATCTTAGGGATAAAATAAAAATGTAATTATGTTTACCTTTTTACTACCATTATTTTTATGTTTTTTTGTTTTGTTGTGTTAGAAATACTGCTGTCTTTTTTCTGCCCTCATATTCCCAAGGGCTCTACTATTCTTTTATTAACAGTAGCTAACATTAGCAATGACTCACCCATAAAAAGCTGTGACACGTCATCTTTTAGCCTTTTGATTTATTAAGATTTACCTCAAATCATGGGGCACTTAAATTGTTTAATGAAAGGAAAAATTTCTACTTTACACTATTAACAATCAATTTTATTATATATATTTATTTACACAATTTCATTTATGCACATTTTAAAATAAAACTTTCCTTATATCTTCTGAATGTGTTTCCTAGACTATTATAGCACATAATTACATCATTTATTGTGAACAGCTGGGTGAGAGATGAAATACTTCTCTGGAAGACATAATTATGGCCCTAGATTCTATAGTTCAGTTGTCCTGGACAATGTGACCAGTGAAAAAGATTCTCTGTATCAGTTACTCTAACAGTGGCTTTAAAGATAGGAAAGTCTCATAGAGTTTAAGGCAAATAAAAAATTAAGATTAAATTACTTTGCTTAAAAATACAATCATCATGAATACTGTGCAGTATTAAAGTTAAGAAATTCTCTCTAGGGGATCCCTGGGTGGCTCAGTGGTTTAGTGCCTGCCTTTGGCCTAGGGTGTGACCCTGGAGTCCCAGGATCGAGTCCCACATCAGGCTTCCTGCATGGAGCCTGCTTCTCCCTCTGCCTGTGTCTCTGCCTTTCTCTCTCTCTATGTCTCTCATGGATAAATAAATAAAATCTTAAAAAAAAAAAATCCTCTCTATGTAAAAAAAGGAAAGAATAGAAGAAAAAAATTAAAAGCAGAAAAGTTAACAAAACCTAACAAGATTAAGAAAACCTTCTTCAAACCAAGTTTATTGGATCACCAATGGAAACTAACCTATTATTACCCTCACTGGTAGCAGGGAGTAATACAGCTTTCCTAAAAGCTTGGATTCTTGGATTCTAAGAGGAAGAAATTAAGGAGGAAAATCTAAATTTGGTTCCTTCTACCTAATAGCAGCATTTTGAGGTATTCAAAAACCATACTACTTAAGATTTGCAGGCAATTTAAATAGTGGAAACTAAAATTCATCTTCCTAGGATCTTACTCAAAACATTACTTTTTTTTTTCTAAGATTTTATTTATTCGTGAGAGAGATAGAGAGGCAAAGACACAGGCAGAGGGAAACGCAGGCTCCCTTTGAGGAACCTGATGTGGGACTCCAGGATCACACCCTGAGCTAAAGGCAGACGCTCAACTGCTGAGCCACCCAGGTGTCCCAAAATATTAATTTTTGTAAAGAAAAACGTAGGCAATATAAAAATACACCAGTCATAATTTTCGTTAAACTGTTGGGATTAACTTGACTATCATTAAGTTAATAATCATTAAGACATCACATTTAAGAACAAAAACCTGCGGAGTACCTAGGTGGCTCAGTTGGATAGGTGTCTGACTCTGGATTTTGGTTCTGCTCATGATCCCTGGGTTGTAGAATCAGCCACGCATCTGGCTCTGCACTCAGCCTGGAGTCTGCATGGGTGTCTCTCCCTTTGCTCCTCCCCCCACTCGCTAGTGCTTGATCTCTTGCTCTCTAAAAATAAATAAATCTTAAAATATATATATATATATATATTTTGTATAAATATATTTTTAAAATATATTTAAAAAAATATATTTTGTATATATTTTGTGTGTGTGTGTGTGTATATATATATATATATATATATATATATATATATATATACCGGTGTGTTTAAGTATTCCTAAAGGAATAAGCTCTTGATTTCTTAACTAAAATAACCAAAAGCATAACATGAATACACCCTACTATGTCAACAACACCTAATCATCATTTATACTATTTTTCTATAGGGCAAACTTTCCCTAAGTATGTTCCTCTAGAAACTGCAGTGGCTAACCCATTTTGTTTGACTAGCAACCCTGTTTTGTTTGTCTGATCACAGAGATAGGCACACAACCCGGTCTGTATGAATCCTAACAGCTCTTGCCACAAAATCAGTCTAAAGATACGTGTAGCACCTAATCTGGGCCAATCAGAGCCCATTTCCCAGAACTTTCTAATTGAAGCTAAGAGGACATGAATTCTATTTCTCTTCTTCACAAGGCTGAAGAGATAAACAGGGAACTATTTATATCTACAATTCTAAGGTAGTGAGGACAACTTGTCTAAAAGAATGAAGCCCACAAATAAGCCAGAAGCAGAGTTGAGACTAATATATGAAATAAAGAATTCTTGTGGTAAATACCAATTTTGAAGATGTTAGGTTAAACAAAATGAAAAATATTTGTTCACTGTAGGACTTTTATGTTAATATACCCAAACATAATTCACTATATATCACTTTTATTCACAGAGTATCTTTAAGAACAGGTACTCCAAATGCTGCTACAGGAAAGTTTATTCAGAGATCCAAAGAATCAATTTGCTATGGCAGTACTCTGCTATATCAGCAGAAGGAAAACTATCTTGAATATTGTTACTTGGAAGCCTAAAGACTGAGTTGTGAAAGCAAAATTGAGACAATAGGCAGTCCTTGAAGTATCTCCAAGGCTGCTACAGGATAAAGCCTAAATGTTGAACAGAATCTAATGACCCATAGTGATCACTGTGAAGAGCAGTTACTATGTACTAGAATATTCTTTATACAGCACATATGACTTATTTGTTCTACATTAAAAGCGAATAAATAGCTACACTTTTTATGCATTGGCTTATATACTAGATTCTTGTATACTCCTCCTCCTTTAATTAATTCTTGTAAGCAGGTTGCAGGCCTGCTTCTAGTAAACTTTCTTCAATCTCTTCAATCTTTTTATAAACTAGCCCCATCCACCCTTTCTGTTTTGCTACTATTGTTAAAATTATACTCGAAGTAAGCAGAATTTCTGCTCAGCCTTCCCAAGAATAAAGTACTAGCTCACAGACATTTCCAAGCAAACCCGAAACTAAGATGCAGAACATTTTTCTTGAAAAGAAAAAGTTGGGTGCCTGGGTGGCTGAGTCGGTTAAGTAGCTGCTGTTGGCTCAGGTCATGATCCCAGGGTCCTGAGATCGAGCCCTGCATCAGGCTGCCTACTCAGTGAGGAGTCTGCTTCTCCCTCTACCTTTGCTCCTCCCCCTGCTCATGCTCTCTCTCTCTCTCTCTCAAATAAATAAATAAATAAATAAATAAATAAATAAATAAATAAATAAAATCTTTAAAGAAAAAGATAAAGTTGTGCAAATAGTAGTTAGAAAATCATTGGCAGTGGTGTGACTTTTAAGAGCATTTGAAAAGAAATTTCCATTTGGGATTTGCCAGAAGATGAAGAGCAGTAATACCCAGGAAAATCACACTTGCTGCTTATGAAAATAATGTAATACAATATCTGAAGTGAAGAGAAAATAGCAATGGAATAAATATAAGAATGGTAAACCATTAACTTCAAATTGCTCAAAATGATGGAGTTAAAATTGACAAAATATTTTTTCAAATCTTAATACAGAAAATAAATTGTAGAAGTTGGCATTTTATGATTTTCAGACTCTCTTTTTAAATAGATTCTCTTAACTTACTTCATAACTGTGCAGCAGCAGTTCAGAATATACATTTCCAAGTTGTTCTTAAAACAATAAAAACAATAACAAAAAAAAAAAAAACAAAATGAAAGGAAAACTTTTATACCCCACAAATGTCTGTTCTGGTAACACAGGAAGAAGTTAGATTTTTACTAATTATATTTTTAAAAATGTTCTATTACATAACCATATTACCTTTTCTTCAGGTAGTTAAGATGATACTGAACTTGATCATTTTTTCTAATCTTGTTACTCAAAATTGCTCTAGAAAAGAAAAAGAGATTAAATAGGTAACAATTTGAAACACAACTAATATACTGCACTTACTTGTTCTCCCTGCTTTCTTTCAAGTGCCCCTCCTCACTAACCAGGCAGAATCAACCACTTTTTATTTTATACCAAATACATTTTAAGCATAGATATAATCAAAATTCTTACTACATTCTATTATTGTCATTAATTTCGATGAGTTCAGCTTCTTGATGCAGAATACTGTCTTATTTTCTTTGTATCCCCTCTAACACGTTAGCTTACATATAAAGTGTCAATTTGAACTCAACATCTTCTTAAAGTATCCCTAGTGATAGAACAAGTTTAAAGTTCACAAATAGCAGGTCATGCCACATAGACTTCTTTTCTTTCACCAGGGAATTTTAAGCTTCTGAAATTAACAAAGACTTCTTGCTTTAGCTAACAGCATCAAAAGACATTACATATATCTTGTTCTGAAAAACATCCTATCACTATAAAATTTAAAAAAAATGACATTTAAAAGGAAATGTTTCTAAGGAAATGTTTCTTTTTTTTTTTTTTAAGATTTTATTTATTTATTCATGAGAAACACACAGAGAGATAGAGAGAGAGAGAGAGGCAGAGACACAGGCAGAGGGAGAAGCGGGCTCCATGCAGGGAGCCCGATGTGGACTCGATCCTGGGAATCCGGGATCACATCCTGAGCCAAAGGCAGATGCTCAACCGCTGAGCCACCCAGGCGTCTCAGGAAATATGTTTCTATGGGGAACATGTAAGCAGAGATCAAGAATGAAATGGAAAGATTTCATACTTACATTATAACTGAGTCCATCATAATTTGCAAATGCTCTCTGATACTCTCTGAAAGAGGTTGCCAGGTTTTCCTCTTGTTGGATGCTATCTTAATCTGTTTTAGATTAGTATGTTCTGTTTGTCCTGTTACTGGTGAAAGACGAGACTGGTCAATCTCAAAGCTTTACATTTTTACTTAAAAACTGATTTAAGTATACATTTATTTTAAAAAGCTAACAGAATCATTAGAACCAAAATATGATAAAGCTGCATAAACTGTTTAATTTCCTTTTTATTGCACAGCCATAATATGCCAGGTGTTGAATATGATTATGCTATTATGTTAATTAAAATACTAATAGCTGAAACTGCAGATAAAAACCCAAGACAATTCTAAATGAAAAAGCAGGCTACAATTTATTAGGATTCAGTATAAAAGTCTGGTTCTCAGAAATGACCTAAATTAAAGAGTTTCACTGAGAAGACTAGAAAGCTATTTCTCCCAAATATTGAATGGCAACTGGAACAAAATATTCAGGGTCTTGTTGTTGGTATTCTATTTATAAAGGATAAACAAAGAAGATAATACTATTGGCTCATATGATGATTAGTTTTAGAGAGAAGGGAGACTAATTATAATTATTTAGTATAAATACAAGTATGCAAAGCCTTACAAAAGTACTGTGCATTATGGAAGTACAAAACCACGGACTTTGCTTGGTACTGGTGAGGAGTAAGTAGGAATTTTTATTTTTCTTGAAGATTTTATTTATTTATTCATGAGAGACACGCAGAGAGAGAGAGAGAGAGAGAGGGAGAGAAAGAGAGAGAGAAGAGAGAGAGAGAGAGAGAGAGAGAGAGAGGCAGAGACACAGGCAGGGGAGAAGCAGACTCCATGCAGGGGGCCTGATGTGGGACTTGATCCCAGGACTCCAAGATCATGCCCTGAGCTGAAGGCAGGTGCTAAACCTCTGAGCCACCCAGGGATCCCCCTGAAAGTAGGAATTTTTAGATGAAGTGATGCCTAAGTAAAGATGACTACTCCAAATTAGTTTACTCCAAACAAAGTTAGACAGTAGTCCCAAACTAATCTATGCAATGGTGGTAGGACAGCAATATATCTGTTTTAAAGAAAAATCAGTAGGTGTGTCTATAGATCACAGAGCAGTAATAATTCAGATTGTGGTAAACTTTGATTTTCTCTAGTTCCTATCAATTTAGAACCTTCCACAATATGTGCTAGAGGCAGCAAGTAAAATTTCAGTTGACCAAAATAATAGACTAACCAGTACTATTTATTCTTGCAAAAATGAGAATGCAGCTGTTTATTACTGTCTTTTGTTTCTATAAAAAAGATTTACTTATTTGAGAGAGAGAGAGAGAGAGAGAGAACATGTGTGGGTGAGGAAGGAGGGGAAGAGGGAGAGGGATAATTCTAAGCACATTCCTCACTGAGCGCAGAGCCTGACATGGGGCTTGATCTCATGAACCTGAGATCACATGACCTAAGCCAAAGAAACCTAGAGTCAGTTGCTCAAAGGACTATGCTCAAAGGACCAGGAGCCCCTACTATCTTTTGCTTTTGTACAACTCATAAACAAGATGCTGAGAAGTTTTTCATGAATACACACAGCTTGAGATGGACAAGTTAAACAAGATACAGAAAATAAATACCTTTGGAAGGCAGATGCTTTGGATTTTTATTTTTTGCAGTGTTTCTAACCTAGAGAGAAAAATACATACACACGTAATTAAACATCAGATAAAAGATACCACTTTTGCAATATATTTGTCATGTATGTTGAAGAGTATTTATGTATCTTCTGGCTAGACAGAAAAGACATACTGCCGCTTGTGCAGAGAAAGGGTGTGTATTTATCCCAGGCACAGGATATACTACAGCAATTCCTGGACAATAGTGATAATGTATAATAGAATTCCATAGAGTGTCAAATAATTTTTTTAAGACTTATTTTTATTTTAGAGAGATAACTTGCCAGTGGGGGAGGGGCAGAGGGAAGAGAGAATTTTTCAAGCAGACTTGAAGAGTCTGCAGAGCCCTGCTTGGGACTGGATCCCATGACTCACAAGATCATGACTGGAGCCAAAAATAAGAATAGAATGCTTAACCAACTGAGCCACCCAGGCGCCCCGTATCAAAGAATATGTTAAAGAAATCATTAGTCATTTTGACTGTGAAATAGTGGTACATACTTTACCTGCAAAAAACATAGGCATTGCCTCTTATAGGATAAAACACGCAAATTCTTAAAAAAATTTATACATATTCTTTTTTAAGAAATGGGCAAAATTATGGTAGAAAGAAGATAATTCCTCCCAAAGTAATTTTTCTCTATGTTAATAAAAATCTCTTCCCACTAACTGACAGATTTTCCTATCTTTAACCATAGAATCTGTATATACTTTATTCCTAGTCTTTACATTCAAACACCTTAAAAACGCCCTATGACCCCTTCCTCAGCAAAGAATTTTCTGGTCAGTATCTTTAGAAACTGAAACAATTTTTATCTGAGAACCTTTACCAATTATGTTGCAACAGCTCCCACATAACGATATGAATTACTTTAATTTGTAGTAAAATTGACCTTTAGTCTTTATATATTCCTTTATATGGAACAAATTACATTTTTACTCAAAAAGTTCAGAATGATAAACTCAATTATTTTTATTACCTTTTTCTTTGGCAACTCCACATCTTCATCATCAATTTTTCTTTTTGGGTTTCTTTTTAATTGTTGAGATCTTTTCTTGGAAGCACTTGCTTTGCTGGACATCTTGATCTAAACAGAATAATTATAATAGTACTTCAAAAAATCTGTAAAATAAAAAGGACACAAAAATAAGCTTAATCCTACATACATTTTGTTAAAAAGTACTACCTATAAATGTTCCAAGTTTACCTTAAAAAATAATGAAAGGTTTGGGATAGTGTTTTTAGAACATTTGAACATACTTTAAAACAAGTAACACTGATTACTATTAAAGTAAGTGTATCTGATTCAATTTCATTCCTGGAAATTTCTTCCATTTTTATGGCTTTAAAAAATCATGTGAAAATGCTCTTGCATCTTTCCTTGTACTCCCCCATACAATAACATTATTTCCATGTTTAGAGCCAAGAAAATGGAAATAATAATGTATTAAATTGTATTACCCTGTCACAGACAATATTAATTGGAATAGTAATATAGTAATATTCAGGTCTTTTTATTTTAAGCCTAATGTATTCTCAGAACTTATGCCAGATATGAAAGGAAATAATTTTTAAGACCATACTATGAAACTATGTTGTGGAAATTCAAGCAGAAAAGTCACTCATAAGGATTTAAGCTACTACTCCGTGTGGGCTGTTTGCATTTTTAAAAAGCACAGAAGAATACTGATTATTCTGTCCTTTCATAACAATACAAATCAGGCACCATTCCTTTTCTAAAAATTCAGAGATAATTATATTAATAGTTTATATAGGTGGATTGAGATAGATAATAAAGGAGGAACTTTGGATAAATCTATTTCTTTGAAATTTAAAAGGTAAAGTTTCAGTAAGAAACTTTTTTTCAGTAAGATTAACAGGAATAGTGAGAAATAATTAATTGAAAGATCACAAACTACACTTAGGGAGTACACGTAAGATCAGTTAGAAAAAACAGTGGAAGCTAAATTATACTTTGCTCTTTACCCTACTTCATACCTAGTATGTTACATTCCTGAGATGCCTAATTCCCTCAATGTGACATCCATGCCTTTATATTTCCCCTACTTCAAAACCAATCCACATGACAGTTTCACTTGAGGACCTCCCCTGGAAGGGCTACCGTACAAAGAGTACAGGTTGTTCAAGGAAGAAGGTGAGGGAGCAAGTGAGGGCTGAGACTTAGTCCTTACCCCATTTAGTAGATTAAAAAATGGTGCAAATTCCTTCTTACTCCTATTATTTAAAGATGGAGTCTATGTCCCTTTATCTTAAATCTTGGCAGACTCTGTAGCTGTGTGAGCAGCAGAATATGGAGGAAATGATTCTGTACCAGTTTACTGGCCTAAACATGAAGAGACTCATAGCTGCAACGTCCTCATGTTTGGAATATTTGCTCTTGGAACCCAGCGACCATGCTCTGAGGAAGGCCAACATGGAGAGGAAGTGAAAGGCCCAAGCAAAAGCCCAGCTGAACTCCCAGAATACCCAGTGCCATCTTACGAGCCTGGCACATGTACCTAAGCTAATATGCTGCAGCTGACCCTGAATGGAAAAGACAGGAGTCAGCTCTACCAAGTTGTTCCTGATCACAAATTCTGGAACAAAATAAATGACTTTCTTAAATTAAAAATAAAATAAAGTAAAAAATCCTTCCCCAATACCTACTACACAACATCCAACGCTTTACCATGCCACTTAGAGTTCTTAACCGTCTAGCCTTGTCTAGTTTTCTGTACTTCTCTCCCACTATTCCTTATAAGACTCTCTCTCTAGCTAGATTTGATGATTCTGAGTACACACTGAGTGAGGCATGCACTATGCCCTCCACCTGAGCTGCTCTCCTGTCTCTGCCCACCTCCCCAGTGCAAGAGCCACCTGCTCTCCATTCCTCCTAACCACCCCCAAGGTGTGACAACCAAAACTGTCCCCTGACATTATCAAATGTCCCCTGGTATGAAGACACCTCAGCCTGAGAAACACTGCCAAGAGCAAGTCAGGGATACGGATAAATAGATAAATAGCTTGGTTCCAAATCCTGGTTCTGGCATTTAACTAGCGGTACAAGCTTAGGCACGTAAATTTGTTCAATGTCCCCCCTGACAAAATGGGTTAAAGTTCAAAAGCACCAACATTAAAGGCTTTTGTGAAGCTAAAACTTCGTACAGAATATGTAAAGTGCCTAGAATGACATATGGGGCACGGTAACAATTCGATACATAAAAGTCATACTTTTCTATTGGGCTGGTTGTCCAGGAACAGAGAACAGACATTTTAATGTAAATGTAAAAGGAACAGAAACTTTGCCCTGTTTTAGATCCACAGGAAACCACAGCTCAGTGACAGTGGGTAGACGCCGATATAAACACAACTACTATATAAAAGTACACACCATGTGACAAAAGTCATAAAAGACACATGAGTGAACGGCTACCTCAAATTGATGTGTGTGCGTGTGCTGGGGGCGGCTAGAAAAAAAAAAGTAATATGTGAATTACGCTTCGAAGTATTTAGCCAGAAAGACAGGGAATAAAGTATTTGAGAGAAAGCAGCAAAAGTCTGAGAGCAGAACAGGGTAAAAGAAACTGGTCTGCGGGGGGGACACGGAAAATTCGGCCAGACTTGCCGGTGTACGGATGGAATAGAAAGGAGGCTGGAACCGTAGTCTGCGGCCGGACTACATGCTGCGGTAGAGTTCACTCCTTACTCTGTAGGAAACAGGCAGGCATCCTAAATCCTCTTGTTGTCCTCAGTGAAATTCGTGGAAACCAAGTCTCTCAACCTAGGTCTAGCGCCAAGGCTGGCAAAACACAACCAGGCTATGTTTACCTCCTGACAAAAGCCTCGGGATGCGACGCTAGTGTCCTCAATGCCTAAAGACGCTAACCTCCAAGGCTGCACTTCGCCCCCCTTGGGCCGCGGGAGACAAAAAAAAAAAAAAAAAAAAAAAGAACGAGGACGAGGATGAACTGGGGGATGGAGGAGGGAAGAACCGAGGAACCAGGCGTCCCTTCACTCCATCTTTGCGAATAAAAATGCTGTCAATCCTTGGCCCCAAGCAAAGGCAGATATGGAAAATCCACTGGAGTCTCACCCCCACGCTCCTGAGAAACAAACCGCGGAGTCGGTCACAATCGCGCTAGCCGCGGGCTGGACTCACCAGCAGGTTAAGAGCTTCCACGACTCTCCAAAGGAGCCTCTTCAACCCTCCAGCGAGTCAACGTCGCAGCAATTGGCGCCCAAACCATTCAAAATCCGGCGAAGCCCGGAAGTGGGCGGGCAGAAACCGGAAACGCCCGTCGGGAGAGGCGGGCCTCGGGTCGCAGCGCTAACGTCATCAGAAGCGCGCCCACGGAAGCGCGAGGAGATTGGCGGCAGGGAGGGCGGTGTCGGCCTACGCCCCCTGACCCCTCCAGCTGGCTTTTGCGCAAGGTCAGGGAGGAGCTGGGCTGTGTGTTTCTGGGTCGCGGGGCTTGGGGTTCCGGAGTCCAGCCGCCCTTTCTCACAGTCGAGGTCCGAGACAGGCCAGCCAGTGAGTAAGACTGGGCGCCTCGAGATGCGGCAGCCTTTCAGCTCCCTCCTTTCCTGTGGCTTCTCTCTCCCCACTTCCCTCTGTCCCCTGAGCCTGTCCTTTTCCTCTTCCCACGGTGACGGCACCCCGCTCTCCTCTGCCTTCTCCTTGGCTCTAGATTCCCGACCGACCTCTCACTGCCAGCGTCGCACGTGGGAATGAGGAGGTAATGCTGCAGAGAAGGTGCTTGTTCGCCCCCGGGGCGCGGCGTCATCCTCCCTGGCCACCGCAGCACCCCGAGACTCCGCTAGGCAGGGGGCGCTTGCAGGATTATGGGGCGGGGGGAGGGTGATCTGCCTCCGCGGCTGCCTCCGCTCTAGGCTGCGGCTCTTGTTCCTCTGAGGTTTTTTGGATACGAGGTGATAGGACTGAAAGTGACTGTGTATACAGGTGGAGGGAAGGGTAAGGGGCGGACTAGGAAAGACAGATCGACGTTGACAGAAAACTGTAAACTATTCACTTGTTCTCTTTTACCCTGACCGAGAGAGGTTTTTCAGAGCTTGGATAAACGTGTTTTTGTGTGGAGCTTGAAATCCCTTGGTGATTTCTCTCCCAACAATTTCTTATATTTAAAGATAGGTTTATACTAATATTATTCTAATATTCAATGTAATTTGCATGCTGTATGTTGTCATCTCCAACCCAAATTAGCTGAACATTGGAGGTATCTCTAGCCTTTCCTGCCATATTAATGTGAAAGCACATTATTTGAAAAGATGTTTCATTCAGAACCGCCCTTTGCTTCACAGCCCCCTGACAAATGTTGGGTATTCTTACTTTTCTGTAAGCCTCATTAAATTGACAGGAGACGGTATGGAAAATATGATTTTAAGCTCACTTTACTTGTTGCCTTATACATCATATGGCATGATGAATATATTAATAAACTTTGCATCTCAAAGCCTTTTTAGAATATTAGGTTCTGTATGTTGACGCTATACGTATATATTTATTTTATATATGTATTTGTATAAATATGAAATACATCTTAAATATGTTTTATATAAACACACAAAAAAGTGTTCTAATATGCTATGGAAGATGATTGATGTGTAACAGAAACAGTTACCTAAGAGCTCATTTAGTCCAGCTTTTGAGTTCAGGGAGAGGCTGTGAGTATTATTTAAATACAAGGACTTTTATTTTTTTTTATTTTTTATTTTTTTAGAATTTTTATTTATTTATTCATGAGAGATACAGAGAGAGGGGCAGAGACACAGGCAGAGGGAGAAGCAGGCTCCATGCACCGGGAGCCTGACGTGGGACTCGATCCCGGGTCTGCAGGATCGCGCCCTGGGCCAAAGGCAGGCGCCAAACCGCTGCGCCACCCAGGGATCCCCCAAGGACTTTTAAACCTAGTGCTGCCTACGGTTTAAATGTTGGCTCTTCTGTGCCTTAGTTTCCTCATCTGTACAATGGGGATATTATTAGTACCTGTCTTGGTGTTGCTACTCTTTATAAAGGATTAAAATTGCTACTCCTTATAAAGTTGTTACAGCAGTGCCTGGCACATAGAAAGCCCTATGTATTGGGATGCCTTAGCCACATTAGCCAAAGAACATTCTAGGTAGATGAAAGAGCAAGAGAAAGGCACAGAACTTTGATATATGCAGTGAGCTGTAGATTATCCAATATTTCTAGAACAAAAGGTGTAGAGGACAAAAGCAGTGATGAGTCTGAGAGGTGTGCAGAGATCAGGTCATAGAGGCCTTGAATTTGTCTTACTTGTCTTATTCACCACTTTTTTTTTTCCAGCACCCAACACAATGCCTGTCATAAAGTAGCTGTAAAAATATTTTCAGTGAAAAAATTAGGAGGCTGTATTTTATCCTCTACATGATGCTGAACCTTTGAGAAATCTTAAGTGAAGTGTGACATAATCATAGTTGCATTGGTGTCAGTTTGTAGAATGGATTAGAGGGGTTAAGACTGGCCAGTAAAACCAGCTAAGAAAGTATTAAGAAGACTAGAACAATGATAGTAGTTGTGGAGAAGAGGGGCCAAAGTTAACAAAATGTAAAGTATTGGAACCAGAAAAGGAGAAGAGCTGAAATAATACTAAAATGCTGCCTTCGTTCTCTTTCCACCAATAGTTCCCATTTTGCCTTTTGTGAATACATGTATACTCTGCTTCTTTTTCTAGGCCAGTTCTTGGGTTTTTTTGAGTGTTTTTCATGCTCCATCATGTTGAGGGCTAAGACTCGGCTTCTTTTGCTTTCACCGCACCATCTGAAGCAGCTCAAAGAGTCACCAGGATTCAGGCTTATATGGCGTCGACTTCTGCATCAGCAACAACCCCTTCACCCAGAATGGGCTTCCCTGGCTAAAAAGCAGTTGAAAGGCAAAAACCCAGAAGACTTAATATGGCACACTCCAGAAGGGATCTCCATAAAGCCTTTATATTCTAGCAGGGATACCAAGGACTTAGCTGAAGAACTTCCAGGAGTGAAGCCATTCACACGTGGACCATATCCCACCATGTACACCTTTAGGCCCTGGACCATCCGTCAGTATGCTGGTTTTAGTACTGTGGAAGAAAGCAATAAGTTCTATAAAGACAATATTAAGGGTGAGATTTTAATGCAGCACATCATATTCATAATCAAACATAGGTTTCCTGTTCTTGGCTTCTTTTGAAGGGACACTGGTTAATCTTGGTAAAGATGATAGTCACTTTATAATTTTATGGTTAAGACTATACTCTGAAAAAGATAGATGTTTTCAACTTCCATAGTCAAAGGATAGGTGAGCCACATTAAACTGCTAAATTCTTGAATGCCAGCAACAGTTAACATGAATGGCTGGACACCTGGGTGGTGCTGTTAGTTGAGCATCTGACTCTTGGTTTCATCTCAGGTCATGATCTCAGGGTCTTGAGATCGAGCCCTGGGTCAGGCCCTGCACTCAGCACAGAGTCTACTTAAAGAAGACTCTCCTTGTTCTTCTGTGGCTCCTGCCCCTCAGATAAGTAAATAAATCTTTAAGAAAAAAAAAAAAAAAAAAACCAAAAACAAGCCATGCACTTTATGTAAAACAAATTAGGTGAAATTGTATGATGAAAGGAGACATTGGCTTTCTCTTTGAAAAACTTTTAATTAAAAAAAAAAAAAAAAAAAACCTTTTAATTAATATTGTCAAGATGGGAACTGAAGGGGAAAACAATTTAAAAGATGCCCAGGTAAAGTAATAAGCCAACGATAATGTACAAATATATCTAGTGCAGTCTGGCATTCATGTCTCTCAAAATTATATTAACTATTATTTTTTCTATCTGATCTGTATTAAAATCATATTTGAATGCTAAATTTGAGGATTTGTACATTTATATTACACATAAAGGACTGATCTTATATTTAGTGTACACTTTTTGTTTTTTGCATAGTGTTCATAATTCTGTTTTCCAGAATATTTGAATAGCCAGGACATCTTGTTTACTACGCTATTAAATACAAGAACTAAATTATATAAGCATACAGATACTAAGTTATGTTAACTATTTATAAATAGGTCTTCTTGTGTACCTTAAAAAATATTTCTATCTGAAATTGTTAAGATAAAGGCAAAATAGGTGAAGGAGATTAAGAGATACATACTTTCAGTTATTTTTAAAAAAGTGCTAAGATAAAAAAGATCCTCAGACATGAGGTGAGATGTTTTATTCTTTCCGTTCTGCAACTCAATTTGTGCATTTTACCACATGGGAAACAACCTAGGAAGTGAACTATCTTTATTTAAATTTGTTTTGACATGTATGAGCATAAAAATGTTAAAAAATATATATTATGATGAGATGAATCAACTCCTTTAGTAGTGTTAATGTAAATGAGTTTACTTTGGTGCCAGACTCCTTAAATCCTACATTGTTTTTCTTTATGTACTCAGCTGGTCAGCAGGGATTATCAGTTGCCTTTGATCTGGCAACACATCGTGGATATGATTCAGACAACCCTCGAGTTCGTGGTGATGTTGGAATGGCTGGAGTTGCTATTGACACCGTGGAAGATACCAAAATTCTTTTTGATGGAATTCCTTTAGAAAAAATGTCGGTTTCCATGACCATGAATGGAGCAGTTATTCCAGTTCTTGCAACTTTTATAGTAACTGGAGAAGAGCAAGGCGTACCTAAAGAGAAACTTACTGGTACAATCCAGAATGATATACTAAAGGAGTTTATGGTCAGAAATACTTACATTTTTCCTCCCGAACCATCCATGAGAATTATTGCTGACATCTTCCAATATACAGCACAGGTATTTCCTGCTACTTATGAGATTTGCTTTACTTCTTTGGATGTAAGACTTTTTATAAAATATCACCTAATTTGAATTTAATAAGTGAGTCAAAATAATAATTTTAGTGTAAAGTCAGAGTATGAGTTTTATGTATGTGTGTTGTTAATTTGTATGTTTTGCTTTTAATGTACTCATTAGTCTGTTATTATCTATAGGAATCTGAGCATTAGATGCGTACCGTATTTTCTTTATTAAAATTTTTGCCTGGTAATTTTTAGAATCAAGGAGGGCTCATAATTTATACTTCTTTATTTCTTTCCAGAGTTCATATTCAGTTTTGAAGTATACACCGGGGTCAGACAAAATAACAGCTTTATAAGATATTGCTTATATCTGCATCTAGAATGAGTTTCCTGGTATTTCACCTCTGAATTAGGTTGTCTTCACCATCAGAGTGGTG